TTCTTGGTTTTCCAGTTTTGTGGGGGTACTTGTTCTGGGTTCCCCTCCCTGCTGATGGAACCTGTCACTTATGGCAAGAAATCCAAGCTGGAGTTCTCCATTTACCAGGCCCCCAGGTTTCCACAGCTGTAGCTGAGCCCTTCAACTCCATCCTCACGACCCACACCATCCTGGAACACTGTGATTGTGCCTTCATGGTAGATAATGAGGCCATCTATGACATCAACATTGAACACCCAACCTACACTCCCCTTAACCACCGGATTAGCGCAGTCATGTCCTCCATTGCTGCTTACTCAGATTTAATGCAGCCCTGAACGTTCATCCGACAGAATGCCAGACCAGCCTGGTGCCCTAATCCCACATGAACTTCTCTCTGGCCACACGTTCCCCCATTATCTCTACTGAGAAAGCCCACCATGAACAGCTTCCTGTAGCACAGATCACCGAGGCACGCCCTGAGCGAGCCAACCAGATGGCGAAATGGGCCGCTTGCCGTGGGAAACACGTGGCTTGATGCCTGTTGTACCAGAGGGATTTTTCTGTGGCCCACGAGGACGTGGCTGCCCTCGAGAAGGATCACGAGGAGGTTGGAGTGGAGAGTGCCGAGGGAGATGAGGAGGGTGGGGAGCATTCACCGCTCTGGTGCAATTTGACATCCTGTCGTCTGGGGCTCCTATTTCCATTGTTCTGCGGAGCTGTCCATAGTGGGCCTAACTTGTCAACAAAAGCGAAGTTTCTTTTTTATTGTTATTATCAAGAGGATATTAAGTCATTTATTGATGACACGTGATAATGGATGACACACAAGCTTTCATCCCACCTATAATTTTATCTGATACCATAATTCAGTTTAGATATTGCATCGGATGTGCCAGCAATCTAGCCCAATAAACTCCATGACTTTGCTCGGGTGACCCTTTTAATGGTGAGCTCCAGGGCACAACGCATTAACTGTCGGTTCAACGACGCCAAGGTTTGTGGAGACAATGGCTTCTGTGCCCAAGCAGTTTGCCAGTAAATTTCAAACGGAACCTGGTAGCTCCCTGAAGGAATTCCAACACACATTGCCGAGGTAGTTGACCAAGACGGCTTCAGAGTAGACTCACTTTACACAGCACGGTTTTATAAAGACACATTTATTCAGCATCATGATCAGACTATTACATTTAGCAGTCAATAGCATGGATGCAAAAAAAAAAAACAAACAAACAAAAAAACACAAAAAAAACACCAAAAACTACATTAAAACCCTTTCTTGGAATGCTTTACACTTCCCACAGAACAGAAACTAAAATAACATGTCATACAATTAGTCACAAAAAAACACAGTCCCCGAGTTTTTGGACCATACGCATGAGTCTTGTCTAAAACACGTCCTCTTTGTAGCAGCTAGGCCCTGCCACCACTGTGCTTGGCTGAGTTCACCTTGTAACCTTCCCCGTCACATCTCTGGCTCTCCTTCCCTGCTAAGCTTTGTTTCCTGACAGTGATTAAAACCTTCTGCCACCACCATCGCTACTGCTGCTGCTGGAACCGCCACAGCCACCTTGGTTTTGTGGTCTGGCAAAACGCTGGCCTCCACCACCATAGGGGCCAGACTTCTGCCTCCAAAATTCCCTCCTTTCATGGGACCAATATGTGAAGACCGTTGTCATTGCCGAAACCATTATAGCCTCTGCCACCTCCAAAGTTTCTTCCTTCGTTACCAAATCCAGGGTGGCCATCCGCACTGCCACCACATCCACAACCATCTCCACGGCCACCAAAGCCACCTCACCCACTGAAGTTTCCTCCACAACCGAAGTTGTCATTCCCACCAAAACCACCGCCGAAGTTTCCAGAACCACTTAGACCTCTTTGGCTGGATGAAGCACTAGCCATCTCCTGCTGAGATAGAGCTCTCCTTACTTCACAGCTGAGGTAGTTTGGAATGACAATCTTGTCTGCGGAGTCACGGTCATCAAATGTTACAAGAGCAAAGCGTCTCCTCTTGCCACCGCCTCAGTCAGTCATGATTGCAATCACTTCCATTTTCCCATACTGTTCGAGATAATCTCTTAGATCATGGCTCCTTTAAGGCCACTGACAACAATCTTTTTCACAGTCAAGCGGGTACCAGGTCTTTGAGAGTCTTGAAACAGCCCTGTTTGGTTCTACAACTCTTCCATCCACCTTGGGCGGCCCTGCATTCATGGCTGTGTCCACCTCTTCCCCAGTGGCATCTGTGACAAACCCAAAGCCTCTGGAGTGCATGGTGTTTTCTCCCCTCATTACCACACAGTCTGTGAGTGTTCCCCGTGGCTCAAAATGGCTCCTCAGACTCTCATGGGTTGTTGCAAAGCACAAACCTCCGACGAAGAGCTTCCGCAGCTGTTCAGGCTCTTTGGGACCCTCTGACTTTGATGTGCAGCAGTGGGAGGGGAGACTCTAAAGATACTTGCCAGTGTCCATAGACAGAAAGGCTGATGTCTCTATTTTAAATTTTTTTTAACGTTTATTTATTTTTGAGATAGAGACAGAGCATCAACGGGGGAGGGTCAGAGAGAGGGAGACACAGAATCCGAAACAGGCTCCAGGCTCTGAGCTGTCAGCACAGAGCCCGACGTGGGGCTCGAACTCACGGACGGTGAGATCATGACCTGAGCCGAAGTCGCCGCCCAACCGACTGAGCCACCCAGGCGCCCCTGATGTCTCTATTTTAAAGGTAAAAACAAGAAAAAAGATAGAATGAGATATCCCATGTAAATGCTATTCATAGGAAAGGTGAAGTCGCTATATAACTAACGCCAAAGTAGACTTTAGAACCCAAAGTTTTATCATGGATCAAGGAGGCCCTACCATAATGATGAAAAGTCAATTCATCAAGAAGACATAATAATCTGGAATGTTTACGCTTCTAATCTAAGCGTCAAAAAATTGGCGGGCGGTGGGGGGGCGGGGGTGTTGAGACCTGAAAGGCAAAAATAAACAAACCCACAGCTTTTGTTGTAAATTCCCAGTTTCCTCAGAACAACCAGGCAGAAAATGACATGATATTTCAAACGATTTGACCTAATTGACCTTTAAAACCCACTTCGCCCAACAACCGTAGAAGATCCTATGGAATATTCACCAGGATACACCATGCACTGGGCCGAAAATAAGGCAAGCAGATATAGCACTCAAGAAATTCAAAACAACCTTCTGTTGACATCAGGCAAGTATGTTCACTCAAAAAGTTATCCATACAAAGGAGCAGGTGTATGTGTGCGTCCAGCATCCACCTAGAATGGGAGAGAAGATACACTCCTAAGCAAGGAATAGCAAGCGACCAGAACAACAGGTGCAGCGCGCCCGACAGCTGGCGGGTTCTACAGCAGCAAAAGGACTCATCTAGGCTAGTGCCTGGATGGGGTGGGGGGTGTGGGCGGGGGGCGGAGACAGGATGGTGTCTCTCACCCCAGAGAAGGGTACTAGAGGAGAGGCAAGAGGAAGTGGCTGCTGGCCAGAAAACTTTGAGGGAGGATTGTATGAAGCGTGCTGGATGGCATACTGTGGTGACCTTTGCATTGTACTCCACGAAATCCCCAGCGAAGATCCTCTTCTGGTTAATTCCCGATGGTGGGGTATCCACCCTTGCTTGGGAGGCCCCGCCTGTTAGGGCCGAGCGCGTGGGATCCAGGCGGGCGTGGGCCCGCGGGCTAGGCCGCCGCCGCCCCGTCCCCTCCCCTGGAAGCCGGCC